GATATTTACAATTCATAACTGTAGCACAATTAGTTATGAAGTAGCAAGGAAAATTTTATGGTTGGGGCTCACCACATTAGGAAAGTTGAGAACTGCTGTTCTAGAGTAAACAATTATTATATATATATTGTGTGTGTGTGTGTGTGTGTGTATATATATATATACATATATATATATATATATATATATATATATATATATATCCACTCTCATCTGTTTCCTCCAACCAGCTTCATTGTTAAGTCATACATGCAATTCCTTGTTTTCTTGTTATTAACTCTGAGTTTTCCTATGTCATTTTGTTTCATGGAATTCCTCACTCACTTGAAACACAGCCCCTCTTCTATCACACATATTATTCCTTTCCTACTGCTCAAACCCTGAGCTCTACTTCCTATTCGTTTCCAGTTACTCCTTCATTGAGACCTATACTACTTTGTCCAACCTCTTCCTGATAGTTAAAATGTTTTGGTGTGGCATTTCCATTTTAGGTAACTGCATGGCTCAGTATCATAGAATCTACAGGTTTGTATATGACACATTCAACACACAACAGGAAATCAGCTTAATGTTTGTTAAATGGGTGAATTTTATTGCGTATTTCCTTATTCAAGCACCACTCAGCAACATAATAAATTACAAACCAATTCAGGAAGAACTAAATTTTGCAGAAATCCTTGTCTTTCCTTGTCCTTACCTTGCCAACACCTATAGTTCAATAATGTGGAAAACTCCTTTCAGAGGTTTAGTTAGTGAGACCTAAGTAACACAATTTAGTAATTAACATTAAGAGGGAAATCTCAAACAGATAAGAAGTGTGTGCAAAAAGCAAACTACTAAATGTCTTGCTCAAACAAGGTTGCAAGGAGCTGACAGGAGCTGATAGAGCTCCACTTGCTGTGAAAGGGGGATCCTTGTGCTTTGGCTACAAAGGCACAAGTGGTGAGAACGACCCTGTTTGGAAGGTTAAGAAATTGAATCTAATTTCCCCTAAGAGCATTGCTGTCCATTTTTGCCTGATTTGAACCACTGAAATTGTGCTGAGACCCAATCTTCAGCAGGCAACTTGACATGGCATAACAAAAACTTAAAACACATGAAGGATCCCCCCCCATACTCCAGATCATTCCCTCAGATGGTACACAAAGTAGCTTTGTGATCTTGAACAAGTCATTTGCCTTTGGCACGTCTATATTTTTATTTCAATGTATGTATTGAAATACATATTTTTGTCACGAATTAATTTCTTTGAAGGTAGCAATGTAAATACCTAACTCTCTTACTACTATTTAGAACACTCAAGAAGTTTTTTAATGAGAGGGTGTCAAACTTATGAACCCAAATAGAACCATTTGCTAGAAACACAAGAGTTAATAACAGTTGTAAAACAGAGTCAGATGCTTACATTACAGCACTTGGGTGATGGCAGCGGGATTGCAAACTCAAAGCCAGCCTAGGCTACCAGTAAAACCCTACTTCAGAAAACAAAACAGCAGAACTCGGCACACAAACAGAATCTGAATGTTTTATGACTGGGTCAGAAAGGAAGCAGCCTTGCCTCATGAGACCTCCAACTATTTGGGAATGTCGTCAGATAACTGTAAGCATGTGAGCAGCACAGCCACACTGTAATCTGGAGAGAAAGTATTGCATGAACAAGGTGGACCTTGGCCAATGTTTTTCCTCCTATGCCCAGAATACAGTTGCTATCTATCAATGAAGGGTTTCTGGAGTCTCTTCTCAGAAATGTCTTTGCTTATTAACAACTCAAAAATTAGTTTGGCTTCTGGGCTTTACTGGAAGGAAATACTGTGTACGAGGTATCTGTGGTTCAGCCTCAAAACTTCTTGTGAACAGTGTTACCAGCACCCTGTTCTCATGCTGCAAAAAAAAAAAAAAAAAAAAAAAAAAAAAAAAACAGAACATGAGAGACAGACAGGCAGAAGGACATTTGTGGCCATGCAGAAGTTTCAGGGTAACCCAGTCCTTGCTCCAGAAGTATGGCCAGTGTTAGGCAGCTTCAGCATGCTCACTTTCTAGGCGTGTTAGATCCCTGGCTTCCATGTGTGAGGTAGGACAGTCATGTCAACAAAACATACAAAATCGACATGGGAAGAAAGCAGGGTCACAAAGGTCTGGGAAAACAGAAAGGTCTGCGGCTTTTCTTATTTGATGTGCAATTCTTTGGTGGCAAATCCAAGAGCAGATGTTCAGAAATAGCCTAAGTGTCAACAGCACCCCAGCGGCACCATTTAAAGGGTAATGTTTAATTGATTCTAAAAGCTATGAGAGATATGTTTTTAAAGTACTAATGTTTATTTTTAATTTTATAAAAAACTTTAAACAATGATCATAACCTATGGTATAAAGCAGTGGGTAGAGGGTGGGCAGGACAGTGGTGCTCTTTATTTTATACTTGAGGAACAGTACAGTGCTGTGTTCTGCCATGGCCACAATTAAGAGCAGCCTTGGGCACAGATGAGGAACCAGAAGACAGAAGAAAATGACCAGTATGGTTCACAGCTGGCCTTATAGTCTCAGGCTTTGGGAGAGGCAGCACAGCATATCCCAGACAGACTGAGCATCACCATACCCAGTCCCATCTCCACTTCCTCCTTTGGAATTGAATGACTCTACACATTACTTAATTCCTCTGAGGCCCAGTTACCCTCTCCATAAATGCCTGGTGAAATGCCTAACTAACTGCTTGAGAAGCACCAGTTCTCCTTAGCAAAAGGTATTTTCTGAAAACTGAGGGTGGCAATCTATTTGTTGACTGAGATTGGTTTGGGGTTGAAATTAGTATGTTGAAAAACAAAACATAAAAATTTATTACACAATGATAATCATCGTGTGTGTGTGTGTGTGTGTATTCAATTTTAATACATGTTTTATTGTGGGTTACACCAAAATTTCAGAGAAATTCTCAGACTATAACATAAAAAAGTCTTTGGGAGTACTGCCATTACTGAAACGAGTCTCTACAAATTTTATGACCTTAATTAAAGTGGTCCTTTTTAACTGGTGGAAATAAAAGTAAGACATGAATCATAGAGAAGATAAATTTAACTTGACACAATGGGGCATATTACGTTCAATTTTAAGATCACTTCTGTGTCATATTGACTAATTTATACTTTTAAGTACTTTATATCATTTATAGTTGATTAAACACCTCTATGCAATTTCCACAGAAAGTTGGCTATTTGCTTCTATTGTGGGGAAATGAGGTACAATTTCTAAGTAACTTTAAAGCATAAAAATTTTAAAGAAGACTGTAACTTAAGCATTCAGACGGGTAGAGTCAAAAGCCCAATACTGACAGTTCATGAGCATATCAACAGGTCTCACAGTGGCTCAATAAAAATGCAAAATCCAGATGTGTATTTCTAATACAAGCCTCATCCCAGTTCTTTTAAATCCTTTGTGCTGTGGCTATTATGGCACACTGACAGAGTGACCCTTTTGGGATGGGCAGAATGAGCACTAAGCAATGAGGAAGATGAAGTAGAACACAGATTAAACAATGAAACAACTTTGCTTATTCTTCTAATTCCAGCTAAGTAGGCTGGGCTGGCTGTATCAGAATTATCCATAATGGAGGTTCAAGGATCTTGCTTTAGTCAGGCGATGGTGACACACACTTTTGATCCCAGCACTCCAAGGCAGAGGCAGGTAGATCTCTGAGTTCAAGGCTCACTTGGTCTATAGAGTGAGTTCCAGGACAACCACGGCTACATAGGAGAAAACATCTTGAAAAACAAAACAAAATTTAAAAAGAATCTGGATGAGTTCTGCCTCCTGCTCAGGTTTGACAGACCCAACTTAAAGAACACCAAGAAACAGAAAAGGATGAAGTTAAAGTGATTACTCCAAATACTTGGTTCCCAGTGTCAGACAATGATGCAGAATCTGACACTCAAAGTACTTTTTTTTTTTTTAAGTATAAAGTCTTGAGTCAGCAGATAACAAATAATTGAGACTTCCCAATAATTTAATACGATGTACTGCTTTGTTTCATAGAGTGCATCAGTAAGACTCAAAGCATGGAAGGAAGGGTCTTGTGACATAGAGGGGAAGGTAGTGATCAAGAGAGGTCAGGCATCAACACAGCTCTTAAAAGATGCTAAGTGATAAACCCTTCCATCCTTGAACCCATGCTCCCATGCTCTAGCTGACTGTGCTTTCTCCTCAGGAGAGATTGAAAAATGAGGCGACCAGAGGCTTCTTCCTATTTCAAATGTGTTAGATGGGGTTGGAATGATGGCTCAGAGGCTCAGATGGCTGCTCTTCCAAAGGTCCTGAGTTCAATTCCCAGCAATCACACGGTGGCTCAAATGTGTTAAGATGCAGAGTGAAGCTGTCTGACATCTTAAATTCCTTTCCTCTAAGCTTCAAATCTTTTTGTTTGAGGCAGACATGGAGCCGGACTGGACTATGGCTACTGTCCATGTCAACTATTGGGCTAACACCACAGATCTTTCATCAGGTCTGAATCTTGGCCATCTAGAATGTGAGGGAAGTTAAGTGTGAGCACTGGAGGGGGGGGCAGCAGCAGTGAAAGTGAAGGACAGGAGATGCCATGGGAAGGGCAGCAGTGACAGAAGTGAGGTAGAAAGCTCCTTCTCAAAGGGTCTGGACCCTTTGAGGCAGGCGTGTCAGCCCCTGGAAGCTCTGAAGAACCCCATGATATGATCTTGCACTCCCCTTGGCCCAAAAATGTTGGAAATACTTAAATTTTCTTTTTTCAACTTAAGAGATGACAGGTTTGGGATAGCTAGAGATGGAAAGTGATATAAAAGGGAAGACTATGAAAAAAATCCTCCCAACACGGGTAGAATTCCCCCTAGAAGCAGAGAGCCTTCAGAATCAGCAGCTGCAAGTGGCTTGGTGGCTGGGTTAGTAGGTCCAGCACATAGACTCTGTGCTCCTTACTGGAAAGGCAGGGGAGACTTCAGAAAAGATACCCATGTCACAATGAACAGGCTGTAAAGAGAAAGTGGGCTTCTCTGTCCATTTTATAGTATTGGTTTCCTTCACCAGAAAATATAGATGGCCCAAGTACAACCAGCCCCCAAGTACAGAAGTAGTTCACCTGTGCCCCTTGTTAGGTGACAACATACCTACCAGACAGAAAGACTCCTCAACTCACCTGTCTCTCCCTATAGGAGGAAATCATCTACAAATACACTGACTCTCATGTGCCCGATACATTTCTACACTTCTTAGATCCTTAGAGTTACAGGTTCAGTTTTCACATTTCCAGGCAGAACGTTTGCTCTTTGGCAGTCTTTAAACTGGACCTGACAGACATCACACACCCTCAGCCCAGGATCCTCCCCCTCTAACATCTCCATTAACAGCCAGCAAACAAATACATCCAATACTGGTGGTTCAACACCACATGGACATGGCGAGCCTCTTCCCGACACTGTTCCAACAGCTGAGCCTTCAACAGCAGCAAGGTGCTCCTTAGGATGGATGCACTGGCACCAGTTGGAGGCTTGGGCTTTAACTGCATTTTTTGTCACTTTGGCTAGGGAGATCTGGACAGCTGGAAGTGAGCTTCTCCATCATTTTCTGTTTCCTTCTTTGTATCAATTTTCCACCTGTGAAGCCCAACACCCCACCACCAAGTGCAGCTGCAATTCCTGCCACTTTGAAGCCTGCAAGGAGGCCGATGGGACCCCCCACCACTCCTCCAATGAGTGCACCTGCCACAGGCAGAGCTGCCAGCTTGTATTTTGCAGCCTGTAAAGGAAAAAAAAAATTCAATTTAGAAACTGAGTTGAGAAAATCTGCCTGTGGTGATGTGCGTTTTCCTCTCATTACTCCTGGCAATGCCTCTTTAACTCTGGGTTCATAATTAACCTCAGAGATTATTCTTGGTTGGTGTGTGTGTGTGTGTGTGTGTGTGTGTGTGTGTGTGTGTGTATGCGCTTGTGTATTCCACAGGTACTGCCATTGCTCCAAACCACAGAACTAAGAGAGGTTAGTGGACAGCTACAAATTGATTTTACTTGCAAAACAATCAATCCACTATCTGGCTGGCTTTATTTAAACAGTTTCAGCAGCCACTGGCTCCCACCAAAGCTTTGATTCAGCACAGGGGTTATTCCACACTAGGCACCTGGGCTGAAAATCACATCATATGGATAATAGATGGTCACACTCCCCGAGTGCTGCTGCAGTCTCGCTTTTGCTCTGCCTGGATTAATGGACCGCTCTCTCTTCTCCCTAGGCCTCTGCAGTATTCCTTCATAACAACCAAATGCCCTAGAGTGAGACCACAGTTCATTCTCTTTGGGGAAAATAAAATCTCATGATAGAATGAATCTGGGAGTAGAATATTACAGCCATTGATTTCTTACACTACCTATGTGTCATTTCTTCCTTATTTCCTTAATTGCTGGTTCCCTCAGCACTGAAGAGAGCAGATCAATTGGGTTAATACTGGAGAATCCTGGGAGCCGGAGTACCATTGATTTGTCAGCAGGAGCAGAATCTTACCTTCCCCAAGTTTTTGGTTCCCTCTTCAACATTCACAGCGGCACTGTTGACATGGTCTGCAATGCTGTCAATCTTCTCCTGCTGAGACTGGATGCAAAGGAATTATGAGTGAGAGGTCCTGCTGGGGAGCAGTGGGAAGCCAACACACACTATTTTAATTCCTGTAATCAGGCCCCGGGTACTGCAGCCTTGCAGTCTTAATAGTGGTTCATTAATAGCATCTGATAAACCACATCGAAAGTACAAATTCACTTTCACGAAAAAAGAGGGGGACTTAATGATTGGGTAATAAAAGGGTGGTTCCTTCATAGCAAAAAGCACCTCACACTGGAATTCATTCAAACATACAAACATATTATTCTCCAAATGAACCTACTTTGTAGGAGGAAAAAAAAAAATTCAAATAAGCATTTACATGTCATGTTGGGTTTGATAGCAAAAAAGGAAAACAAATTCAAACAAAGTCCATAACTTATCTTCTTTGGAGATTCTGGTTAAGTCAAATTTACTTCAGGAGTAAAATGCCTTTCATCCAACAAATACAAATTGTACTTTTGTACGAATGAGACTACAATGCAATGTGATCCAGCATGAAATCTTTGCACTTCTGATATGCAATAGGGAGTAATGAAAGAACCTATGGTCTTGAGTTTTATACTAAATAAAATATAGGTCAAGTGAAGATAGTGCAGATCAACTAATACAGCAGTCTACCTAAAACAGCAACAACAGCAGCAGTGATCATGACTCCTGGAATTCCTGAGGGATGAATGGTGTGGCTGGGGACTGCTACTCTCCTCTCTAATGTATGAAATTACCTCAGTGTCACTAGTGAGCTCTGCTCTGACACCTCAGGCACAAGAACTCTGTCCTTACCCTGGAACCAGGATCTCATCAAGATCAACTTTATTTAGTTACACACACACACACACACACACACACACACACACACACACACACACACTTACTTTCATTTCAGGACCGCCACATGAAAAACCTGTGGCGGGGCCCAACCATGTGTTTCCAGAAACTTTGCAGATGATCTAGTGTTTACTCAAGTTTGGGAGCTTTGGCTGTATTTGTGTGACAGATTCAAAAGAAAACTGAAAAAGGACAATTTTAGGAATGTTAGGGATGTCAACATAGTGGTGGTGAATCTTGGAATAAAGAGCCACCACAAAAGACCTGGCAGAGAGAAGGTGCATGTTGGGCAGGGAAAGAATATCAATAGTGCTAATAGGAAGCAGCTGGGGGCTTGTGAGCTGTGAAAGAACCTATGGTCTTGAGTTTTATACTAAATAAAATATAGAATACAGAAGAGGGTATCAGATCTCTTGGAGTTGGAATTACATGAGGTTGTGAGCTACCTGCTAAGGGTGCTGGGAACCAAATTCAGGTCCTATGTAAGAGCAGTACATGCTCTTAACACTGAACCACCTTTACAGCCTCCCATTTCACACACTTGGAAGGTCACTATTTTCCAATATAAAACTGGAACACAAAAGCTAGAATAGGATACTCTGTGATCAGATCCCAGCACTGCCCTGGTACGGTCTTGGGCTAAGTACTCTCATCTGCTACATGAGGACAACAGTATTCCTACTTCATTGTGTTAAAAGGAGGATACAATGAAATGACTGGAAAACAGAAACACCAATCCTGTTTTTCCCAAGCTAATTCTCAGCTTTCCAGCAAAACAGTTTAGTACTCTTGTTCCTATGATAGTGTTCTCAGAGAACAGATCTCCCTTAGTGTTCACTGAATTTTCATTTTTACAACAGCAAAGCTCCTTTCAGTCAAGTTTTCTCCTTAGCCACAGAAGCAAGCGCCATCGTCAATACTACCCAACTTGCCTGTATTCTTGACACCTTAGCAATACTTCTGTCTGCCTTCCATTCTTCCTTGAAACAATCCATGCTAGCAGATAAGCCACTGCACAAAATCCTATCACCAACTTTTACATCTTTATAGGCTACAGCAGAGGGTAAAGCGTTCCTTTCCCTTGGACTGAGGGAGGACTCTGCTAGCATTATTGCTATGTCCACAGGCCAAGTGATTACAGACCTCAGGAAGATATATTTTCTGTGCATTGGATACTGCAACACTATGGCTGTCTTCATCACTGTTCTGTTGCTGTGAAGAGACACCATGACCAAGGCAACTTATATATGAAAGCATTTAACTGGGGGCTTGCTTAGTTTCGGGGGCTTAGTCCATCATCACCATGGCAGGAAGCAGCACAGTGATGAGGAGCACAGTGGCATACATGGTGCTGGAGAAGTAGCTAAGAGCTGCCTCCCCATCAGGCCAAAAGACAGAGAATGGGCCTGGCATGGACTTTTGACATCTTAAAGCTCACCCCCAGTGACAAACTTCCTCCACACGGCCATATCTCCTAATCCTTCTAATCCATTCAAAGACTTTTGCTCTCTGGTAACTAGCATTAAAATATAAGAGTCTATTGGAGCCACTATCATTCAAAGCATCACAATGACTTTTTCAGTTTAAAGTAGACTATCAAGATAACCAATTTTTCCCTATAAAAATCCTTTGGAACAATTGGAGAAATGAATACCAGGAAAATGCCCTACAATTACTCATTTTTCAACTGTAATGTATTCAACAGTACAACTACCTGCCCCAAATGAGTCCATCTGTCCTGGGATTGTAGCCCACATCTATAGTACTACACACCTCGGGAAGCTTTCTTAGACATGGGGATAGGAGAGGCCAGAGGGCAGAAAGCCCTACCCTGGGATTAACAGATATCCCTCAATTATATAGACCTCGCTGTTCCTTCCTTTTAGTTCAGCTTCAATCCTCCAACTGTCTGTATCTTTAGATTCAACTTCATGCCTGAGGAGGACTTGGTGACACCCACAATGATTGTAGTTAGCTGTCAATCACAATCAGGAGAATGCCAGACTACACTGCATTTAGAGCTAAGTCGTTAGCTCTTTATGCTGGACCAACCTGCACATATATAACATCACCACAGTCTATGAAACCAGGCTTCTCCCAACAGTGATGGCAAAGGGCCTCTGCTTCTGTCTACCTACTTTCCCTCTATACCTCTGATTTGTTTAAGTTTGTTTTCATCTACCTAGATTTCCCACACTGGCAGTCTTTACCCACCCATACTCAGCCTGGATTTAACTCTTTGGCACTTAGAACTTAACAATGAACTAAGCCATTCATAAGGCACATTTTAAGGAATATTCAATTAGGTTGCCCTAATGGCCTGAAAATAGCTAAATCTATATAGACAGTTATGGGGCACCTAAAATTCAGGAGAAAATGTTTATTATTAAGTTAATACTTATTGATAAGAATGCAAGTTGGGTAGATGAATGAAAAAACTAATGAGGAATTATTTTCCCTTGAATGCTTGTTGTGGACACTTTTCAGTCCAACATGAAATAATAGTTCATGTTATCTTATAAAAAATAATAATTTACTCAGCAAATTCATCCTCAAATTCATTTACATCAACAACACAGCCCTTCCTTGGAGAGACTGTTGTACAATCTTATTAGTGTGCTTGAAGACCTATGAGTTTTAGAAAGTGTGCAAAATACAGCTAGTTCCCTTTATTCCTCCCTAAGTTTCAGCCTTAATCATACTCAATCACAGAAACAGAAAAGCCCAGAAAGAATTAGAAATGTGATACACAGGAAGAGAATGGTTATCTTGACCTAGCAAAGGCAATAAGCAGGGTAGAGAAGCAGGAACACTGCAGTAGGAGAGGACTGAAGGTTGCTGATGGCAAAAGTAAAAGGTAATGTAAAGACCCAAAGCAAGGTTTCAGAACAGCTGAGGTAGGCAGGAGTGAGAGGATGAAGGATGCTGTCTGAAGCAGTTCTTTTGCAAAGTATTCCTTTGCAAAACTTGCTGTCAAATAACATGCTAAAACTCACAGAGACCATGCATGAATAAATCTAATTGCATCCCTATTCTAATGCAGCCAGAACAAAATTGAATTTCAAAAGCCACAGAGAAAAATACAGAAGATAGAAGTCAAAACAGACCCAGCAGTAAGGGTAGCATGTTGTCCAACTTCTGGCCCAGAGTTCTCCTTGACTAGAAAGAAACAGGGCTTTTTACAAGAAAGGGGCACTTGTACAGACAGAGCAGGGGCCTGCAGATATTAATAACATCAGAGTTACTGGGCTATACTGTAATTTCTCATTACCTTTGTGGATCCCTTGTTTTAAAGCAAACTAGGTACACACCTAAGAGTCTAATGACTTCCAAGTGTACAACTTTGTGTTAATTCCTTCACGATGTTGATGGATCATAAGCATTACCCTATAGGACCTTTTGACCCTACTGAGTTTAGCACAGCTGTGCATACAAAGAGAGTTCCTTAACTGCATTGTTGCCCAGGTACAATCATATCCATGTGACAACAGAGGATGTGGCCACTCCTGTGTTCCTTGCTTATCCTGTGAGTCCCTGGCCATGTGCCATAAGAACTCAATCATCCTGGGAAGAATAGCAACTCTGAGCTCCTGCCAAATAGCATTGGATCTCCTGTCCTTGCAGAGATGGCTGTGACTAGGATATTTGTATGGAGCTGAAGCTCTGATCAGAACCTTCTGTGTAAGTGCTTCTTAGACTGAGTTGTGACCCGCTTACTATATAACATGACTGAACACACAACTGCTAATTCTCCACAAACTGTATTCTTTTCTTTCATACGTCCAGAAGAGAAATGCATTTGTCTTGAGAAGAGCTAAGTATATCTTTAGTTTGTTTTTTTAAAATCAACTTTAGTGATGTATAATTTACACATATTGAAACACATTTAAGTGTGCAGAATGATGGCTTTGGCAAGTGTATATATTTATGTAACCATGCATATGCAGACTTTATGAACTGCATTAGACTGGGAGATTACTAATAACAATAACTGGATAAATCTTGATTGTAAACAACATATGTGTTGGAGGTTCCTGTATCACTTCCTATCATCTGCAAAATAATAACAGGCCATAAAGACAGCTAGTCTAGAACTTTAGAGGCATCAGAAATAATTCAAACAATTTACTGCTTTCCATTTTAGTCATTATCATTCAAGAAAATATCCATAAGATAGAATAGAAGGACAGGCTAACACCAGACAGTCTAAAACTCATTGGTACAGGAGAACCACAAAAGAAGGAAGTTTCTAAGAAAAGAAAATGTATTTGGGTAGGTCAAAGAAACAAGAACTTTTATCTCAAAACGTGAAAGCCTCCTATAATGAAAGAAGACAAACTCTTCCATATGTGGCCGTAGAGGATGAATGTGCCCAGGAGAAATTATATGACAGAATTTGCATCAGGAAGAGTTTCCACCCTCTCCCACAACCTTCAAAAGAATGGCTGAACACCGGGTGTCCCCATCCATAGTGTTAAAAGACAGAAGGTTAGTGGTCTGAGAAGCTGAGGCAGAGTACAGGGCTAGATTAGCAAGCTCCGAGGAACTGTGCTGTAGGAGTTGCCACCTCAAAGCCAGGCCTTAGGGAAGCCATGACTCAGAGAAGTTGGGTTGCAATTCATGGCCTGATCAAGAACAGGGAACTAGGCTAGCCGGAGCACAAACAGAAATTGCTTTGCACCTGTGCAAACTGGTGTTCACACATGTACTCACACACTAGACCTTTCTATAATTCCCAGGAGGAGACAAATAAAAAAGCAGTTTCAAAAAATAATGACAGAAAATCTATCTTTCCTCCAAAAATATAATGTGCTCCTTAATCTATGACAACAGATTCATTCCGGCCTTAAAGTCTTTGACTTTACCTTCCTCTAGCTTCATCGTCAGAAAGCTGTCTGAGCATCCTTTATATTATACAAGTAAGGGTTACTATTCTCCCTACAGGTTAAATTCTTGCAACTGGTTCCTAACTCGACACCCTGCCCATGACCTCCTCTTCATCATTGTAATAGTCTTCCTGAGGCACAAATTGGATCACAGGACTTCGGCTTGGTTACATATCTGTACCAGCTCCTTCAGGCCCACCAAAGCCACCTAAATTCAGTAGCAGCACAGGCTGGCCCTCATCGATCCTTACTTACCCCTGGTACTGCAGGATTTGGATAATAGGTACACTTAGTATCCTTTGGCAGTCCACAGACCTCACCATGTCTTATTTTAGTTCACCTGTTCTGAAGTGCACACCTTGTGGCCCTCTGTGAACATCTATTTGTTCTTCAAGGCTCATGTTAATACCAGCTCTGTGATGGTAACTTTAACACTGCTGTCTTATAAACCATGCCTTCTTTCCTGAAATACTTGCTTCTTCTTGAGGCTTCTCTCTATACCTTACTTTGCATTTAGTTATCATGCTTGAAAACTGAGTTTGAGAGTTCCAGATCACCTCTTCCTTCTATGGAATCCCCAAAGGTAGCAAGTAAACTTGATTTATGCTTGTACACAACCTTGTCAGATTTTCAATGCTGAGAATCTAGAAAAGTACTTTTTACAAAATCTTTATTAACTTGATCTAGAACTTAGGGACCACATTCATAGTTCAATACCATTTCTAAGTTACAATCTAGGCTCAGTGGTTAAGAACAGTTGGTGTGTGCTCTTGCACTGGACCCAAGTTTTGTTCCTAGCACTCATATAGCCACTCAAAATCACCTGTAACTCCTGTTTCAAAGCCTTCTTCTGGCCTGTAGGCATCAAACACACAGGTGTTGCACATTCATACATATAGGAAAAACACTCATACTCATAAAATAAAGGCAAATATTTTAAAAAATGTGACTTCTATTAAAATTCTAATAAGAAGGGCAGTGACTGATAAGTTCTGAACATCAGTTACATACTTACATTCACTAGGAGGGAGAAATCAGTGACCAAATGGCTAAGTTCAATTAAGTCCTTTAAAAAGAAAGAGAGGAAAGAAATTACTTACTTTTACATCTCACAGTTAGCAAAAAGAAAATATGTTTAACATACCGCTTCTAAGTTATCCCAGGACTCAGCAGCATTTTGGTCTCGAGGAATTTCAGGCAAGGCATATATCTGAGTCAGACTCTGAGAAGCAGCTTCAGCCTCTGTAGTGTGGAGTGCTCCTGGATGAACAAAGGCCTCATTAGAGCTTGCTTCTCAGAAAGGACAGAACTGGCTCAAAGAATACTTGTAGTTCTGTTTAGGCTAAATGTAAATGGATCAATCTATAAAAACAGCATTATATCCCCTTGGTCAGCTTGTTCTCTAAGTAAGTTAATGCGGAGGCACCAAGCTCTTCACGCAACTGAATGACAAGAGTTAGAGGTGGAAGAGGTGGCAATGTGAACTACTAAACTTGGCCAGTGTTCCATAAGACAGCAGCAGGAACAGTATAGATTGTTCTACTACCAAATCCTCAGGCTTGGACTTAGGTATTTTAGTGACAGGGATCAAATACAACAGGTGTCAAAGGCAGAAAAGTGGGCCGGTGATGGCTCATCAGGTAAAGCACTTGCTGCCAACCAGACAATCAGAGTTCAGCTCTGGAACCCACGTAGAGATAAAGGACACAACAGATACCACAAAGCTGTCCTCTGACCTCCACACACACACTTCACAACTCATATAACACTCACACCATAACAACACACACAATAATAAATATACATAATTTCAAAGTAGGACAGTAGGCTGAGTTTTAGCTCTATGGAAGGATACTTTAGTATACTAGTAAGGAAGGAAAGTGATGTAGTTATGTGTTTGTAGCAACTAACAGTCTGTTGGTGACAATCTCATCAGCAATGAGCACATTTTGGATATGTAACTGTTTAGATTCGCTCTTATTCCACATACTTCCATGGTTTATTCCACTTCCTTTCTAGTTTTTAAAAACTTTCAACCCACAAAAACTATTTATTAACATTCCTATAATATCAAGGCAGTATATACTACAAACATCTACCTTCAGATCTTTCGGGTCTTCACACTGGTTTTATCATTCTTTATTCATGAAATTGACACCTGTGGCATGCCTAACGGAGACATAACAGTAGTCTATAAAACCATGAAGTGGCAACACCATAAGGCTGTTAGCACTGTGGGTCTGGTCAGAAAGGCCAGTGTTAGAATTCCGGTTTGGTGGCTTGCTGTTCCTGTTTGTAAAGTAAATTGCTGTTTACTTTGCATAGAACCTGACTCTGCTGTTGTCACTGCTACTGTTGCTATCATGGACAGAGCTTCCATGGAACCTGTGGTACAGAAATTTAACAGTCAAGCCAGGTCAGTACGATGTACCTAAGTGTAAGACTGGCATTAAACACCGACTTGTAGTCAGGGGTTCTGGGGCTGAAGCCTGAGGATGAGAGAAAATAAGGCAGGTGGAGTGGAGTGATAGTGCAGGGAGACACCCAATAAGTCTAAGTCAAGCAGAACAATGAGTGCATAGGCATGACACTGGAAGACAGCCAATGTAGCTGATGCAGACTAGAGTGAAGACAAAAGCAAAGGTTGAGGAAGACAGTCTAAGGCGAGAGATTACTTGGGGGCATCAAAAACTTTTCCACATGATTACTACCAAACTATTAAAAGGGACTGGAGACTGCTGGGAAGTTGGAAAATGCCATAATCAGATCGTAGCCATAGTGTGAGGAACACATTAAGGACAAAGCTGACAGATGACAGTGAAAATCCAGTTGGGAGACTTTACAATATATCCAGTGCAAAATGATGATCTCCAGCCCTAGGAGAGTAACAGTGGAGGTGCAGAAGACACCAGAACCTCTGCTTGCTACTCTACTTCAAACTCAAAACACCCGCAATCCCACATTCACATCTTGTAAAATTACATTTATTTACTTAACAGGTATCTGTGCCATGATGCACATATGGAGGTCAGACGACAGCTGATAGTGCAGAAGAAGGTCATCTCCTACGTGGGTCCCAGGGATCAGACTCGGGTCTTGGTGACAAGCACTACTAACTGCTAAGCCAACTAACTGCTGGTCCAACTTTAACATTATGTGTTGCCATTAGTATGAAAGATGAAAACAATGAATAATGCAGAATACTACTCTCAGAGAACTTACATTATAGAAGAATTAGACATACAAAGGAGTGATCATAAAAAAGAGGGAAGACTGCACTGGAGACACAGAAACAGACTTTGGAGGGAGTTCTAATCTAGCTTGATATGACGGGTACTTTAGATTTTCTGAAAAGGTGGCATTACTAGGCAAAGAAGAGAGGAACATAAATTCTAGATGGAGAAACCAGCATGAGCAAAGTCCTCAAGAGAAAAGTAATACAGCTAAGATACCATCGGCAGCTGGCATTATCAAAGCATGAAGGGAAAGACAAGTGCAAGGATAAAGACACTGTAAGTGAGGAAGGGCCTTTCTGAGCAGGTGGAGACTTTATGTGGCTGACAACAAAAGGCTGCTGAAGGCTTACAAGTCGGTTAGGAAATGACATGATACTTGTGACCTGACATTACAAAACTATGAATTCCTACTTCCTTTCCATTCCTTTTTTTTTTTTCCAGCCAAACCTAAAAATGAATGATACTTTATAAAACCATGTGGTTAGTTTATATTCAAAGTTAATGAACACTTCTTTAGATAAAAGCTTATTTGAACTGATCAGGAAGGGCATAATCAGCTAAACAAAAGATGACAATGTAAACACCAGAATTCATAGTGGTTATTTTTCAACTCTAAATATATAAAGATTATATAGGAGATTACAGGAGTGTCACATTGCCCATGTAACATATAGACCCAGGTTTTTAAAAATATGCTTTTTAAAAGAATATTTTTATTTATTCTTTGTCAACAATATATTTTGATAATGACTAACCCAAGGCCTCCTTCTACTCTACTGGAGTACCTCCAATACTCCAGCCCTTCCCATCATTCTGTCCTCTTTTTCTTTTTCTTTTTTTTTTTTTAATATTAAGTCTAATTAGTGCCATCTGTATAGTCTATGATTTTATCTTAAAGAATAAAATTATCAAACACAGAGTACATTTCATAACATAGTAAAGAGCCAATCTTGAAAGCTTTCATTGATTTTTTTCAGATGCTTAAAATTTGTTAATTTTCACTTCAATCAAGATAAATGAATCGACCTATGACCTCATTTTCATTTCACATTCCATGTAACTTTTTGATCAGTATTAAACAGAACAGAGGCAGAACTCTGTAACTGTGCACACTCTAAAGGTCTTAGGCCATAACCTATATACTATTAGAGAAGATTCAAATGGAATAGGTAGGGTCTATAAAACACGAAAAGATTGCCAAATGTAAATGCTTTATCAAAAAAATAGGGATGGGAATTATCTGACATTTTAAACAAACATGAAAGGTTTCTGTCAGCACAAAGAGATAATTAGGTCATTTCCATCTCACTTGAAACCAAACTACGTATGTGTCTTAGTTACAACAAAGATGTCCTTTCTTTCCATGGAAAACCTTGTTGTTAATTTACAACTCTGAACATCACAAATCAATTCAAGGCATGACTGTCAAGAAAGAACTCTTTTCATTTCTACAATGTCTGTAATTCATTTATTTCAACTTGTACCTTAGTGCTCATCCTTTTGACTATGAACTCATAAACTTGTAAAGGCGTGAGCGTGTGTGGTGTATGTATGGGTGATGTGTGAGTATGTGCAGTGTGGGTATGTGTGGTGTGTGTGTGTGTGTTCTAGACCTACAATTGGATGTAAAGCCTTATTACTGTCTATCCATTCAAATAAACCTAAGACGGTAAACTCCCTCTGGCTGAAGTGATAAATAAGCTAACCAACAATGTTTTGCCCTCTCTTTTCCTCTGTTCCCTGTGAACATCAAAGACTCGACCAGGAAGCACAGGAAGAAGCCTCCTCTAACCTTCAAGATATCAGTAGTGTTTCTCTACAAAACTAAATAAATTCAAAGGCAATCAATCCTTAAACTTTTCAAGTTCCGACACCTTAAAAATTAAATTAATTTACTGATCATCATTGAACATAAACCTACCTATCAAAATAAGATGACTTCTAATTCATAACTTGATTCAGAAGAGGATTTTTTAAAGTTCAAATGAACAGGAAATGGGTCTGAATACTATCAGACAAAAACAGCTCTGTGTTCTGCAGAACCATTCAGCACACACATACACCTGAAGTAAAAATCTACTACTGCTTCAAATTCTATGTGCTGCTCTGAAGTTAGCATCAGCTTTAAGACTGAGATCTTTTCATTCATAAGTATTTATTGGAAATGGACTAAAACTCCATTCCTGCTGTGCTGCGCAAGGGATGCTCTGGATGCAGGGATGGGAGAAGACAGACAGGAACTGCACAGAGGCATTGCATCACCCCAAATGACATGGACCTCCACTCTGAGTGCAAATCACAAGGATAGGCTCACCATTTCTCCTGGTAGGGTGCAATGAAAAGGAGATGTAGTCAGCACACAATGAGACAAGGGAGTATCTCATATCTACCAGGACTGGCAGTCACTGGCTTTTGGAACTCTCAGAATCTGTATATAATAAACAGTAACACACACAGCTTCCCCCTAAACTCCAATTATTTTCTAGAGAACATAAGATGTCCTATTCTAATCATTATTTCTATCTGTAAATGGAAACTATTTCTGTATTTTTTATCTCACTCATGGAAATGTGGCATGATTGCTCCTGAATCTTTTAGAATCAGATTTATAAATAAGAAATATTTTTCAAGATGTTTAACTTCCATACAAACAGCACACATTTCTCTGTATAGGCTATCACTACTATAATGGATATGCAAAGCATAGGATAAAAACACGCAGAGTAACAGGAGTCCATAGCTAGAAGGCAGCCACAGCACATGCCCAAGCCCACTCCACCTCAGAAGCCTGTGAAAGTTCATTCCTTGAGCTCTTCCCATTATTCTCCTTTGTTAATGGTATTTCTGCATATAAGGCTTACTCTGTGATCTCAGGTGCTGGTCAGATCCAGCTTTCCATGGGCAGTGGACTTGGGGTGAAAAAAACAAGCAGTCAGAATCTGAACTCTCCACTCTGTATTAGCTATTCTTTGGCTATGTGGTTTAATAAACAGAATGACTACCTTAATCATATCAGCACTGTGTTCTCCAGGAGCAATCATTAGCTGTCTAGATTATCTGACATTCCATGAATTGAGAGGTTTGAGAATTGATAGTGGAAATTTCATTTCACATGCTGATTCTTGCCCCTCATCCTCTGTCTAATCTTTTTTATTTCTTTAATATACATGCTTCTGATTCTGCCAAGTCTCAGGCTTCACACTGGCCTTCTGTTTATAGTAAATAGTAATTGGCATGGAATGAGTAACCACATAACTCCCCAGTGATATATACTCAACTGTGTTGGCCACTAATAGTTTTGCTTGGATAAATGCATACAATGCAGTGATAAAATGTAAATTAAAGCAATTATTATGTTACTATTTTGAGAAAAATCCTGGGTGAATTCAAGTATTTTGCATCAGATAAAAACACTAGTGATGGGCCACTTGAAGTTAAATAGTAGGAGATTGACACCAACTACTCTTTCTAGAAAATCCTATTATCTTCACTGTCGTTATTGCCATCATTGTCAAAATATCTAGGTATAGAAGATAGTCCATTAACACATGGAAGTAGAAAGCCCAGTTGCTACCTATGCACAAAAGGCATCAAGTCATACTCCATGGTAGGAGCAGCCTCCTCTGCACCATATGGTGGTGATAACCACAGAACTATGAAAACAGTAATGTCAAACTACCAAAAAGCTTGCCCCCCAAATATTCTTTAAGAGCTGAGCACTAACATTTTAGCACTGGCCATGCAGAGAAGTGACTGAAGCACTTTTTGTTGTTGTTTGGTTGGTTTAGTTTTCTAAGAAAGGCTCGCTTGTGTACTTAGGATGGCCTTGAACTCCCAATTGCTCACCCTAGTCTAGCTTCCCAAGTGCTACGATTACAGGTACACAGCACCATGCCAGCTCAATAGCAGCATATCTGAAATAGCAAAATTGTCCCTAATATATATTTATTTACTTTTTTGTTTGTATCTATAATACATCTATGAAACAGCTCAATAAGTGTAAAGCACTGTACAAAGTACAAAGGCTACAAAAGGAAGGAAGGAAGGAAGGAAGGAAGGAAGGGAGGAAGGAAGGAAGGAAGGAAGGAAGGAAGGAAAAAGGTTACCTAGAAACTACGTTAGACAGCCTAAATGTTTCTGTATTCCCTTGCAAAGTACTGAATAATTAGCAGTGAACATATACACATTTTAAATAATCTAAGTTTAGAGATAAGGAGTGGAAACAGAGTACTCTGATAGATAAAAAAAAAAAAAAAAAAGGAAACCAACCAGGTACAGTGTCCCTGAGTTACCATTTTAATTTCTAATTAATTTGTAGCCCATATTTTTCATGAGGATTAAAAATCTCTTAAGAAATATAAAATGTAAGGAAATAGAATAAATTAAAAGATAAACAATAACAACAGAAAGGAAACAACGTGAACAATTTAAAATAAAACCAACAAACTTTATAAGTTTAATTTTTGGTGATTACAAAATTTGGCTTTATGAACTCCTGGAATCCAGTTGCAGAGAGGGAGAAGAAACCCACAGAAACAGCTGACCTGAACAAGGGGGAGCTCATGGTAGCTGAGAATCTAGCATAGGACCGACCCAGACCCCCTGAACTTGGGTCTCAGTTAGAAGGCCTGGGCTGTCTAAGTGACCTCTGACAGTGGAACCAGTATGTATCCCTGGTGCACAAAAGGACTTCAGGAGCCCATTCCCCATGGAGGGATACTCCCTTAGCCTAGAGACATGGAGAGGGCCTAGGCCTGACCCCAAATGATTTCAGACTGTGATGATCCCTCCTGGAAGGCCTCACCCTCCCTGGGGAGTAGATGGGGGATGGGATGGGGGCAGGTCTGTGGGAGACATGGGAGGATGGAAGGTAGAGGGAACTGGGATCAATATGTGAAATAAGAAAAAATATTAAAACTTAAAAAAAGAAAATTCCAAAAACAAAAAAAAAATGGCTTTAGGCTTTCTAGAAGATAACTGAATTAGAGAAAACTTATTAGTTATTTACTCACTACTTAAAGATTTAAATCTAAATCAAACCACCCAATTAAACAAAAAACAGCTACTTTTAAGTACTATGATATATAAGCCAAAAGTTTTTTCTGCATGAAAAATACTAGCATAGTGTCACCAAGGATTCTCAAATACATCCTTAGAAATGACATAATACTGTATTCATAAGGTTGTTTCTTAGACTATTGCTTCACCAAAGTTGGCACCATGATTCCACCATAGATTTTTCATTTGTTAGTTAAATTCAGAGAATGGAGAGTAGAGAGAGACCTGTATGAAGACAGAGTCTAATAACAGCTCCCAAACAGCCTGCCCCTGCACTGGAGAGGAGAGAGGGTGTACACCACACACAAGGACAGTATTATCTTTAGGAGTAACTTAAATTTGTCTTTTCAATACATGAACAAGCCCCAAAGTTACTTGAAGCCCCAAAGTTTCTATCCACACAATTTTATCTTGCAAAATTTCCAGGCTACACATATCTGGTCTGTTTGGGACTGGCCAGCAGACTCTCAGGAACATACAAGGCCTCTCTCCATTATCCTGGAGGGGAGGGGTTTAGCTAACGGCACAACTAGGGTCAAGAGTAAGACATGTGTTACCACCAACGGTTGTGGATCTGGTCAGAGAAGGCTGTAATAAAGCTTCTTCCTCATTGAATTGTTTCTTGAGTTCTTCAACAGACTCCAAATGGAGCTGGAGAAACTCTGCTATGGCCACCGCCGCTGATTCCTTAACAGGGTCGACCATCCTCTTCAGAAGAGCCAGATCATCTCTGTGGGCTTTCAAGCAAAGCTTTTCCATTTCTCGGATATTGGAGCGCAGTTGCTACAAATGAAAAGAAGAAACAGTACCATCTCTCAATATAAGACCTATTTCTTCTCAGAGTAATTTGCTATAGTGGTTTTATACTGTCTACTACAGAGTCACACAATTTTTAAATTTCCCACATCTCTCTTGGCTGGCCAAATCCAACATCTTTAGAATCCATGCCCTCAAACTTTGAATTTGTATAGTAGTTTTCCTTTATTGCATACACTGTACATACCGTATGGCTAACATTTAGCTTGTGGGACATACATGGAACTAAAATACTCTAAGGACCCATATGATCTGTATGGCTAAGTCAAAGATACATTGCATAACCTCTGATAAAAGCAAACAATTCCAAAATGAGTAAATAAAAATGGAAATGAAAAAAGAACCAATAGAGCAGAAGATAAAAGCATGTAATAGTGGCTCAGCAGGTAAGAGTAGTGGCTGTTCTTTTAGACGACCCAGGTTCAATTCCCAACACCCACATGATAGCTCACAACCATCTGAAACTCCAGTTCCAAGGGATCTGATGACTTCTTCTGGCTTCCATGGGCACAGCACGCACATGGAGTATAGACATACATGCTACACATAAAATTAAAATAAAGTATTTAAAAGAGAAAGCACATAATAGAACAAATGATATAATCAATAATGATATCAAGTATAAATTAAACAAATATTCATTATAAAATAAAGATTGTTTTAAGACTGAATAAACAAACAAAAGATACATTTAAACATAAATATAAAATGGTTCAAATTAAGAGTTTTTTAAAAAGCCACACAAACCTTACCATCCCTCTCCCAAGAACAACTATAGCGACATTACTGGCAGATAAACAAACTTAAAAAGCCAACACATTCCCAGAAACTCTAAAGAATCTCTTTAGAAATATATAGTAACACCGACAGAATACATACCATACAAAAGCTGACAAAACTACAAGTTGTTTTCCTTCTATATCTCTGTGTGAGTACCCATATTTGGATTGTGTGGGTGCATGTGGTAATGCACATGCATGTGGGGGCCACACACCTGACATCATCTTTCTTGGTTGTTCTTCACTTTACTGTCTGAGGCAGGGTCTCTAACTGAACCTGGAATACACTAATTCCAGCTAGTCTAGCCAGAGGCTTGTTCTAGGCATTCCTGTCTCTGCCTTCCAAGTACTGTGGTGACAGATGGCCACCATGCCTGCCTGTCTTTGGTCCTTATGCTTAGGTGGCAAATGTTTTATCCACTGAGCCATCTCCAGCCCAAAGATTTTAAATAAATACAAAGTCATAAGGAAAGGTCTTAAAAGATGCAGTAATTAATAGAACAAACGGCAAGGGTAGGTTAGGTATAGAGTGTCTGAATAAGAAGATTAACACAGCTTGGTATAAATTGCTTAGAACATTAACCCAACCTACTAAAAGTATATACATAAAAAACAATGTTAAAGTAACTTTCACAAATTTCAAAAACAATGTCATTATACACAGCATGCATTCTGAGCATATAAATTTAAATTTGAGATCATTAAAGAAAATATGTCTATTGTATGTCTAGAAGAAAGAGAGATATTTCTAAATAGTCTGTAGGTAAAGAAAGAAATCACAATGGAAATTAAAAACCTATGGCCTGGATGCCAAGAAAGGTAATACATATTAAAATTTATAGTGTTCCATATAACAAAAGTTAGAAATATACTTCTCCAACTACATATATATTAGGAAAGGGCTAGATTGTCCCTAGGGGCTGCCATAATATTCAGCTGGGTAGATCCCCGTGGTGTTTGAATAAGAATGGCTCCCATTGGCTCCCGTGGTTAGTCATCAGAGGGGGTGGCACTACTTAAGAAGGATTAAGAGGTGTGCTCTAGTTGGAGAAGGTGTGGCCTTGTTGGAAGAAGTATGCCATTTGGGGTAGACTATTAGGTTTCAGAAACCCAAGTGAGACCCAGTGATGCTCATGTACTCTCTCTCTCTCTCTCTCTCTCTCTCTCTCTCTCTCTTCCCCCATCTGCCTGCCTGCCTGTAAATCAGGATGTAGAACTCTCAACCTCTCTAGCACCATGTCTGCCTGCTTGCCACCATGCTCATCATCATGATGACAATGGTCTAACCCCCAGTTAAATGGTCTTATCAAAGTTGCTTTGGTCGTGGTGTTTCTTCACAGCAGTAGTACACTGACTAAGACAGCTTCCTTTCCTTTTTCTTCTCATTTGTCTTTTCCTTTCAGATGCTTGACCGAGCCTATGCATGCCTTTAAATTCCCTAACAATTCAGGTTCCCTCACCCATGAGTGACCATCCTCTGTTCCTCAGGCTGGCTTATCTTTTCTACTCGAAGCCTCCCCTCCATGCAACTGACATACACAACTTTCTCTGGGCCTTTCTTTTATTTGGAAAAAAAAATGGCTAGAAATTAACAAGCTAAATATCCATCTCAAGAAGCTACAAAATACAACTACAAAGGCAAATGTAAAAAGAAGAAAATTACAAAGACGTGAATAAACTTAATGAGACAAAGAAACAGGTACACAACAGATTAACAAAGCTAAAACTATTTGGAAAGACTTAAAAAAAACTGATAAGCTTCACAAAAGTAGTCTTAAAAACAGACACAAATCATAAATATGGGGGCATCACTACAAATCTTAAAAAATTAAAAAGATAATAAGAAATTACGAATAAGATGGACATGGTGATGCACACCTTTAATCTCAACACTGAGGAGGCAGAAGTAGATGGGTCTCTAAATTTAAGACCAGCCTGCTCTACAGAGGGAGTTCCAGGACAGCCAGGGCTACACAAAGAGACGTTGTCTTGGAAAAAACAAAAACAAAGACCAAAAACAAAGAAATTATGAATAAATTTATGCCAATAAGTTAGAAAAGTCATATGAAATGAACAAATTCTACAAAACTGTAATTTATCAAGCTGATGAAAAATCAAAACCTAAATGGCTCTATAATAATTAATTTTGTTTTTCTTGTTTGGGGGATAGGGTCTCATCCAGCTCAGGAGAGCCTCAGTTTTGCTACTGAGCCAAGGCTGGCCTTGAGCTCCTTGATCTTCCTGTTCTACCTGCTGAATGCAGAGGTTGTAATAAGCACTGATCACCATACCCAGCTACTATTAAATAAATTAATAGTAGCCTCTCCCTTCCCCATGTTAAACAACAATCAACCAAATTGTTTTTAAACAATAAACCAAAACAAGCAGAAATTGTGTCACTGGTCATTTTCACCAAATATTTATAAGAAATTAGATGAATTCCTCATGGGAATAGTAAAAGGCAAGTGCTTTGATACCAAAAGTCAACAAAGGAAAAGAAACTACCCACAGCAAACTCATGCAGTCTCACAAACGAGGTACAAAAATAAACGAGGTACAGAAATCAGCAGGAAATGTAGGGGGATTCAGTACAGCAACAGCAGTAAGTGAGCAGGCCCCACTTCAAAAGATGGATTAAAGATACTGTTACTGGCAACAATAGTAACAGTCTGCTTATTTCAGTCTCCATGGTATTCTGAAATAAGCTGAATCAATCTTCTGTCTGAATTTAAACAGAGAAGATAGGAAGTAATTGCCACAAAGGTCAGGATGGTGACACCTCTGGTGAAGGGTGGTGGTTTGAGACAAGGCCACAGAGCATTCTAGAATGCTTGAAGCTATCCATGTTGGTACATGAGTACCTAAGTGTAGTTACTTAGCAGTTATTTATGATGTAAGTATTCTATAGTACATTTAATACAGTTCAGAGTTTAATGCTTTTAGAGAAGAAATTTACATTGATCTAAGTGATAACCAATCTAACAGACAGGGATGAAAACACCTGTGTAGGGATAAGACGCAGTCGTGGTCTAACTGTGGAGGGATGTGAGTTATTAGACTATGAATCTTTTTCCTTTCATTAGGTAGAAGAAGTAATGAAAGTGACTACTTCTTTGGGATGAATTCTGACCAACCAACATAGACTTATACTGTAGGAGCAAGCCCCGTGAGAAGGCATACATGAGCAAGGAGTGACTGGCAGTCAGCAAGAGGAATACTAAATTTCTGAGTCCTGGGGAAAGTTAATTTTATCAGCTTTAAAGAAAACGGCTGTATGATGTCGATGTCACAGCATAAATTACTGTAGTAAAATTTAAGACAAAGAGTTTCACTTATGACACTATAAGAGCAAATAAATCCCAAGTAAGAAAAGAAAGTGACATCTAAGGAACCAGCTATGGCTGTAGGGTACGGTATGGGAAATTCAGAATCTTGAGACATTTACCAAAAAGGAGAGGAGAGGTAGGAAAGCCAAGTGAACCCAGGAGTGGTGTGAAACAAGGAGAATCATGCAAGTAAGAGCCCAGAATGAGCGGAGGCTGGCAGAAAAGTTAAGAACAATAAGAAGACATAAAAATACATGTACAGCAAGAACAAGAGAGAAGGCTGGGGCCCACTGCTTGGGGCAGATGGTGTAATGCTAAAAGATGATGTAGAGAGCAGAACCGCTTAGCTCCTGTTTTGCTTTTGATTCTGTATTAAGGAATATTTCAAAATTGCAAGGGGGTAAGAAACATGCCCAAAGGAAATCTGTGTCACTACAGAGCTTTGGATAGGCTTCACAGAGGAGGAGCTTGTTGTAGTCTCTGAAAAAACAGTCTTAGGGAACTAGGACATACTAAACACAGAGCCCTCTTGATCTGCACGTCAGCAGCAGCAGAACACTGTATCGTTTCCATATTTAACAGCACCAGGCTTACACACTGGGCCAAAGCACCAGACCAAGTGAAGTAGCAGCATCTGTCCTTCCTAGAGGGAGACAGCATGATGCCTTAGATGTCATCCACACCATCCTACCCTATGCCAATTAGGACACAAGTCAAAGATCCAGAGTCCAGATTAATCTCATAAATATTTTAAAGCAAAAATCAAGTTAAATTCCTCTGAACTCACAACCACCTAGAGAAAGTTCTTTTCTATTGACACCAATTAGGAAGCTACTTCTTGCTGCCATTTGCTACGTCCCCT